GCAACTGGGAAGACCCCTCGCTTTGGTCTCCACTGGACCAAAGGACAGCTGTCTTTCACAGAGGGGCTCCTTCCCTTCCAAAGTCATCTGCGTGGCCTTGGGCATTCTGTGCCGCCATGATCAGAAGAACCTTGCCAACTTGTCCATTGGGGAAAATGCCATCACGTTGCATATTAATGGACTTCATTTAGAATCTTTCCAAGTGGGCTCGGTCTTGGTATTTCTGTTTCCAAAGGGCTGGTGTGTGCTTTGGATTTCCTGACTCCGGATCCTTCCCAGTACCTTCTCAACAGGCAGCCCTTGTGTGCCTTTGGTCTTCCAGTACTGAGAGGGCCATATTTTTGGGCTTTCCAGCACGGAGAGAACTGACTCACTTCCTATACGTTGGAGCTGGCACATTCGGGGTGTGTAGACAGAGATGGCATTTTTCATTTATGAGGGAATATATGCTATTAATGAGGTGCTTCTTTCCAGGATGTGTCAGGGAGCGCCTTTCATAAGAGACTTTTTGACATTGGGGAGTTGCAGATAAACAGCTTTAATGACCTGTCTGGTTTCCAAGGTTCTTGGTCGCCCATGCCTTAGTAATAACTTGGGGCCTTTTTATTCCTCACTTATAGGCTTTGATTAAATGGGGATGAGGCTTTTTAATTAAACAGACATTTTTTTAAGTCCCTGCTCTGCTCCAGGCACTGCTTGGGGGTTGGAGAAACAGACAAAAGATAAAAGGTAGCCCCCCTGTCCTCAAGGAACGGATAGTCTGCTGTGGGAGAGAGGGGAGTGGCATATAAACAGGGAGGTCATGGGGTCATTAGGAGACAGCATTAAGTGCTGGGGGAAGCCCAGGGATTCTGAGAGGCCAAGCAGAGGCTGGACAAGCGCTTAGTGGGTGTCTTACAGAGGCGGTGCCTTTCAGGACGAGTTGGCCATTGGGGTTTCTGCCAGCTCTCAAGTCCTTCGATTCTCTGGACATGACTTTGGGCAGGTCACTCGGTCTCAGTTTTTTCATCTCACCGAGGAGAATGTTGGAGTTGGTGACCATCAAGGTCCCTTCTGCCTCTTAAACAGTAATTCTGAGAGCATTCAAAAGGCGCCAGAAGTGAGCAGAAACTCAGCCAGGTTGGTGTTGGGGACCCGAGAGCTGAACTCTGAACAGTAGCTGGATCTGGGTTTGGGCAGCAGCAAGCTTGTGGGGCATGGGATGAGCTTCCTCATTCCTCTGCATGTCAGAGAGGAGAGAATCTCACCATTGGGATTGTAATCCTCCTAGCTGAAATGTGATGGTCATGGTTTGTAAAACACCTTATAAATTATTGCATTCAAATCTCACAAAAACTCTATGGAGGTAGATTCTGCAAGGGAGTATTATCCCCATTTTACACGTGGGGAAACTGAGGCGAAGAACTCCGATCTGAGAGGCAACATGGATATTGGAAAGAGCAGTGGATATAGGGCCCATCAGTCAATCGGCATACATTTATTAAGTGCCTACTGTGTGCCAAGAACTATGTTTAGGGATAAGGATGCAGACAAAAGATAATAGGTCTTGCCCTCAGGGAGCTTACATTCTAAGGGGGCAGAAAACATGTATGCCTGTGGGTATGTGGAGAATATGTAACAAGACAGCTGGCAGGGGGAGGCAGGAAAGGTTTCATGAGCAAGGAAGTGCTCATGGGTAGTGCACACGACTGATGGGCAGGAGACGGAGGAGATGGAGCCTTCGTCTGGTGTGTGGAGTATGGGTGGAGGGCAGCGTGTGAGGAAGAAGTGGTAGCCATTGGGGTTTGTTAGGGGTGGAGGGAGAGAAGGGAAATTGCAGGTGTGCAACTGAGGACCGAGGTTCTGACCTTTCCTATCATGGACTCTTTCTGGGCCTCAGTTTCCTCATCTGTAAAAGGAAGGGGTTAGTCTCGATGGCCTTCCAGCTCCGACACTCTAATCTTCCTGACTCCAGCGGGTCAGTCCATGATGGCTGAATCCTTCAGCCGTTGCTTGACCAAGAATCCATTGAGCTCTGTGTCTAGACGTTCATCAAGGCCTGGGAGTGACTAAATCTAAACATCCTGCCCCAGAAGATGGGTGGGAGGGAACAGGACAGATCCCGGTGCCAAGAGCAGTGTGTTGTCCAACCAGGGGGTTGGAGCTGACGTTAGCACAGGCGTCTTATGTATGAGTGTTCTTTGAGCGTGTCTGTCTACCTTACACAAATCCTGCCTTCTTCTTTGCTCGTTAAATGAAGCCCTTTGCTTGACTGGGGTGGGGGGGAGAGCGCCTTCTGAACATTTTAATGAGAAGCTTGAAAAAAAATAAGGCTGGAATGGGGGGGAGGTGTCTCAACTCCGCTTTATTTTTTAAGGTCTTTTGAAGTTCCTTCACACAACTTTAATCAGAGCCCCTACCTACCCCAAGAATGCAAAGAGGTTTAAAAAAAATAAGCCTTCCACTGGGAAAGTATATTTTTTTTCCCTTTTGTTCCTAATCGGTAATTACACCCCCATAATGGCCCCTCTGGTGCAGATTCAGAAGTAATAGCCGGAGAAAGAGAAATTAGTTGGGCATACAGCAGTCACAGCAGTAGCGAGCTTGTCTGCACAATAACTTGGGGGCTGATGCAGGGGTCCCTGGAAGAGCGGGTGTATTCATAGACCCGAGGCTCACACGGCCCCTTGTATGCTCTTCCATTAAGTCATTAAAGCCGGGAATGTGCTGGTCTTAACCCTTTCTCGAGGGCTGGAAGGGGAAGATTTTCATCCTGGCAGCTCTGAAGACAAAGGAAAATGAAAACGACTTGCCCTTTCCTTGCTTCTTCTGAGGTCATCGAGGGTCGGGGCTGGACCTTCTGGGGGAATCATCGGGGTTTACTGCATCATTTTTGCCAGGGAGGAAACTGAGGCCCAGGAAAGGGACTTGCCCCAGGTCATAACTGTCAGAGCCGAGATTTAAATCCACGTCCTTTGATTCCAAATCCTGATTCATAGAATCACAGAATTTCAGAAGAGACCTCAGAAATCTTCTAGTTCAGCCTTTGCCAAGCCTCTTATCTGCCGTGAGCCTCAGTTTCCTCCTTTGTGGCATGAGAGAGATGGCCTAGATGTCCCCCTAAGGTCCTTTCCATTCTAAAGTTATGACCCTACCGTATGAACCCCTCTCCCGTCATCCCCTTTGGTTTAAAGACCTCCACAGAGGGGGAGTCCATGGCTTTCTTGTTGGTATTCAGTCGTGGCTGGCTCTTTGCGACCCCCTTTGGGATTTTCTTGGCAGATGCTGGAGTGGCTTGCCATTTCCTTCTCCAGCTCATTTTACAGATGAGGACACTGAGGCAAACAGGGTGAAGTGACTTGCCCAGGTTCACATAGCCAGTAAGTGTCTGAGGCCAGATTGGGACTCAGGAAGATGAGTCTTCCTAACTCCGGGCCAGGCGCTCTGTGCACTATGGCGCCCCCTAGCGCCCACGGCCAAAGGCAGCCCATTCCACCTTGGACAGTTCTGAGTGGTGTCTGGGTTTTCTCCAAAGCAGCCTTCAGCTGCGGCCCCCTGTCTCTCCCCTGAGTTCGAAGCTGAACCGGACTGACAGGATCGTACATCTGGGCTGCCAGAGACCCCAGAAGTCTTCTCCTGCAGCTCCTTCATTTTAAAGATGTGGAAATGGAGGCTCAGGGTTTTGTTGAGCACAGGGTCACCCAGCCGGTGAGGCTGCAAGGGGATTTTTGGGTCCAGGTTTTCTAATTCTGACATCCCTGCCCTTCATAAAGGAAGGCTTCTCTTCTCCAGCTCCCCTGAGTATTAGTTGTGGCACCTTGAGCAAGGGCCTTGTTTCTTCAAACGTAGACTGAAGGGGGTTGTACTAGTGACTGGATCTAAATTATGACCCAAGATCTTAAGCTTGTCTGCTCTCTAACTTAGGCAGCTAGGTGGTTCAGTGGATAGAGTGGTGGGCTTGGAGTCAGGAAGACCTGAGTTCAAATCCTATAGCTCTGTGACCCTGGGCAAGTCACTTAATCCCTTTTGCCTCAATTTTTTCAACTTAAAATGGGGATATAGCAGCACATACCTCACAGGGTTGTTGTTAAGAGGATGAAATGAGATCCTGTTTGTAAAGCACTAGGTACTACAGAAATGCTTCTTGTCTTCCCCCTCCTCCCTGGTGGTGGTGTTTAGTAAGGATTGTAGGATTTGAGAAATCAATCCAGAAGCATTTATTAAGACTTCATCCTTGCCCTAGGCACTTGATTAAGCCCTGGAGATCCAAAGATAAGAGTCTGTCCTCAGGGAGCTTACATTCTAATGGGGAAGTTGTGTATTAGATAATAAATCCCTGTGCCTACAGAGGAGATGTATTACAAGGTAGCCTTGGAGAGGAAGGCGCTAGCCTGGGGGGACCAGGCAGCATCTGGTTGTCAAGATCTATCCCTTCTCTTTATAGATGAGAAAACTTGCCCAGCAAGCAGGAAGGATCCCTTAGGGTCACACAGGTAGAAAGAGCAGAGCCAGGATGGGAGGCCAAGCCCTCTGCCTGCCAGGCCAGGGCCTTCAGCACACACCCTTGGACTCCAGAGTCCTGGGGAAGATTATGGTTAAATTAGGTAGACCCCGTGAAAATCAGATTTCCAGAAACTGAGGCTTGTGTGTTCTTGGGGTGTCATTTTAGCCTGCAAATGGAAAATTGCTTCTATAGAAAGATTGCCTCATCGTTTTGTGTGACAGTAAGAGGGACGCGTCTCTGGAATTTTACAAAAGTCTACCCATCCTCCTCTCTCTTTCCCATTGCGTTTAGTATGTGCCTGTGGGATATCAGATGCTGCCCACCCCTCAGTCAGGGGAGTGGGGCCCTTCTTGGCAAATGTGTCTTTGTAAGAGTGAATGGCGTGTTGGTGGGTCTGTGAAAGGGGGAGCTCGATGTCATCTCTGGCCTTTCTCCCTCACCCACCCCACCCCCCTCCACCCTCTGGACCCCACCAGTCACTCCTTTTATCATTCTGTCTCTTTTGAATCCCAAACAGATACCTGAAGAGGTGGCTGACATTTTCAACGCCCCCAGTGATGAGGAGGATTTTTTTGGGTTTGGAGATGATGTTCCCATGGAAACTCTATACCTGGAAGAGAGCTTTGACTCCCCAGAGCCAGGAAAAAAGGTAAGGGGCAGGCATCTCTGTCTGCAGCTTGGTTTACGAGTCACCTTGATTTCAGAGCTGATCCAGCTTGGGTGGCCTTCGTTAATCGACTGTTGTCCTTGGTGCTTGAAGAGAGCCGAGAAGACCTCCCTACGGCGGGGTCAAGGTGCAGGTCGGGTACAACCAGGCCACGGGGACGTTTGGAGGGGAGGTGCCTTGAACTTTGTGCAACTCATGTTTCTGTGGAGCTGTTGTTTTATTGTAGAGTGAAAGGAAATGTGTTTGAGTGAGCACACGGGACAGCCTTCCCTGGAGCTTGTGCTATTTGAATTTTTTTTGGGGGGGGGTTCCTGATAAACTCCTTACCCCTCAGAGAATGACCTTACAGGATGAAATCCATTCTTATTGCTGCTTCAAAAACATGAACTTGCCTTGAGCTGTGATTCAGGCCCTCCACATGGTCCCAGCCCTCTGTGATGATCGCAGCCCAGCAGATGTGCTGAGGCCCAGGCAAGCCAAGGAGGAGTTAGAGTGAGAAAGACATGTCTCTGGACCCCTTTGAAGACTCATCTGTAGAACACCAGGGAGGCCCCTGGAGGGGCAGAGCCCAGTGTGGCTTCAGGGCCAGTGTTCTTTCCTCAGAGTTTACTGTTAGGATAGCATAAGACTGCTTTCTCTTCCTTAGTCCCACCCTGTGCTGTAAATTAACACTTTCCTCGGCCCACCTGGATGGGAATATTAGTTACAGGCAAGCAGAGTTGGCTGCCTGGTGCGTCTGAATTCTCTGTGTTAGAGAGAGGCAGCTTGGGATAGCTGGTCCCAGGGCTGAACTTGAGAGTGCTGGGCTCGGGTGCTGCCCCTGGTACCAGTCAGTGTTTCTGGCTCCACAGCCTTGCCCACGGTGGGCACTTAATATGTCTTCATTGAACTGACTTTTTACATCTCACTTTCACTGTCTATAAAATGGCAGCAATAACACCTGTGGTAACCATCTCACAGGGTAAGGCTCATCAGAGTTGAGGATCTTTCTAAAGTATATTGATGCTGTTCCCTGCCTTATTAAGCAGAATATCCTGCTGTATATGATCAGTCTTTATTTCCCCGAGGGTCCTGTCAGGCCTGCCATCATTTTAACCCTTGGTTCTCATTGGATGTATTTCTGTTTCTATGGGATCATCTGTTGGGGAGGTATTAGAGATTGTCCTGAATATGTCCTTCCCCTTTGCCCCAGGGTCCCCCAGCTTTGGGGTGAACTTAGAATCACATCAGGAAACAAAGCTAGTAACTGCCTATGTGGTGGCACCCCAGCTTCAGGCTTGAAAGGGCGATAGAAAATGGCCTGTCTGTCGTGTATTTGTCCTGAGTGACAGCTCCCCACCTTATGTGGAACAGCGGGGATTTTTCCTGGCAGCCTGCTGGGCCTGTCCTAATCCCAGACAGATGGTATTTCAGCAGGGGTGCTCCTCCCTAAATCCTGGCCTACCTTGGAGTCTTTCCTCAGCCCCCTTTGAGGCGCAGCGTGGAAGGCTTGGGATGTTGCCTGTGGCCAGCGTAGTGTTTGCCTTCGGATACTGTGGTTCCTTGTGTAGGGTTTTGCTTGAGAGTTCCTTTTAGGGAATAATAACAATCTCTTTGCCAGGCCCTTCTGCAGAGCCTCAAGTGGCTTTTATGTATAACGTGCCTAATATAACATTTGGCTTGAAAAAAAAGTCACTTATGCCCCATAAATTCAAGTTCCTCATTTCGGGGCCAGATCTTGACAGGTGAGTAAATGACTCTTTCTTGTGAATTGAGTTGCTCTGAAAAATACACCAACTGTTTCGTGCCAGCTTGACAGGAACAGTAGTTAAATACATTTTTGGACTAACCTCACCATTCATTCAGATGTCCAAGAAACCTTCCTCAAACACCAGCTTTGTCTGAGGCTTTGGGGGGAGGGCAGCAGGGAGTACTAAGGTTTGTGGGCCAAGGCCCCCATGCCCTTCAAGAGATTCTCTTGGATGAGGGCCGCCATCTTGCCTTGGGCAAGTTGCTTCCCATCTCTTATTCTCCTCATCTGTGAAAGGAGAGGGTTGTGTGAGATGGTTGTCCCCAACCCTCTATGCGGTATGTTGAAGCAGAGTACAAGTTTTTGGGAGATTAATCAGTCACTAAACAGGTATTGAACGCCAACCATGGGCCAGGCACTGAAGATCCAGAGACAGAAGGTCTTCCTTCTAGGAGCCTCCATCCTGTCGGGGAGACACCATGTACTTAGATAAGGGTATACAAAACACATTCTGATATCAGCCAAAGGCCCCGAGAGGGTCACACAGCTGGCATGTGTCAGGGGCAGGATTGGAACCCAGGTCTGCCTGACTCTGAGGCCAGCTCTCAATTACACTGTACTGCCTCCCACAAAATAAATAGGGAATCTGGGGCAGGCCGATCTAACAGCTGGTTGGTTCCTCATTAACAGCAGTTGGTTAATTGCCCATCTCCTGGGTCAGTCCTGGCACTTGGGACACTTTCTTGTCTTCCTGATTCTTCTCATTTGCATAATTTTACATCATTAGCACGCCTGCCTGTGTCTTGCTTCTTCAACTGGGTCATAAGCCCTTTGAGGACGGGCAGGAACAGTATTTCACTCCTCACATGAGCCTGAGGTGGACGCTCAGGCAGAATCTGGTCCTGGCCTTGGGGAGTGACCACTTCTATCCAGATCACTCCTTGCACTGCTTATGTCGGCTTCCAGATCAGTCGTGGTTCATTCGGACACTGCTGCTGCCTGATCATGGGAGGTATCAGGCTGCCTTACTGCCCATTCCCTCGTTGGGGCTCAGGAGGTCTGGAAGGATCGGTTTTAATGGGGATAATGGGGTTCCCTCTTGAGAGTGACTGTAGCTGACCATGGTGGTGCCGGCTTGGCTCTCTGGGTGACGTTGGACCCGAGCTCTGGGCCTCAGTTTTAGACCAGGTGACCTCCAGGGTCCTTCCAACTCAATCTGTCCCGTTTCCATTCCAGCCAATTCTGGCATTGAGTTTCACTGACTATTTAAAAAGAGATTTATCCCAAGGAAAGCAGAATTCATCTGCTTGTGAGGGAGTGGAGGGCAGCCCTGAGAGTGTCTGACCAAGGCCGGAGCCCCTTCCAGGCCTCTGGGCTTCCCTTTTGGCTCCCGCTGCCTTCTCAGGCCGCCTCTTGAATTCAGATACTTTTTGCTCATTCTCTCCTCCAAGATTACTCACCGGAGGCAGGTGGGGGCCTCTCAGAGGGCCAGGCAGGCTGGTCAGCTGCCCACAGGCAGTGAGGATGGCATGTACAAGTTCTTCTGTTTATGGAGAAAACCACCCTCTGGCCTCCATGCCCCTCTGCGGCCTAGATGTTGGCTACAGTCAGCACCGGCAGCTGCCTGAGCTGTGGCCTTTACCTTGCTGATGGACTGAGCCCACCTAAGCTCCCATTTCCGGGCAGCGGCCCCAAGGGCCAGCTCAAGTTTTCTCCAACACCAGCTAGTGAACATTCTCATATGGCTTCTTTTTTGTCAGCTGCTCCACGGTTATTCTGGCCCAAGAAATGGAGTAATTGAAGATGCCTTACAATTATACACAGTAATTCATCGGGTCTGTTCTTCAGCTTAAAGGGACCCATGCTGAAAACATCCCCATCCTTCCCCCGCCTGGTTCCTTGGCAGATTTTTTCCATCATTGCTTCTATTTTTTTCCAGAGATTATCTAAATATGAAATAATACATAATGACAGTTGGCGAAGGGCAGAATGCAGAGGAGGTAAGGTAAAGATACTGAGTCACATGTGGCCGCCCCAGAGTCATTTCTGCTTCTCCTGTGGATGGGAGAAACCAAAGCCCTGTCTGGGCCCAGCACCTGGTTTTTGCCACGTAGCCTTGGGCCAGTCAGTTTTCTGTCCTATGACATGAGGAAGCTGGGCTAGATAATTCCTGAGGTCCCAAGTGTATGGTGCCAAGATCTGGACTCTACGGGAAAACGTGGGAAGCCAACTTTAGCCTGGGTGAAATGTGCCTGGCTTTGAAAAGGCAGCTGCGTGCATCAGTCAATCAAACATTCCAGGATCTGTGCAGAGGTGTCAGAGACAGGACAGAGATGGAACAGTACCTGCCTTCAAAGAGCTTACACTCTAAGTTAACATGTACATACAGGGTTTAGGTCAGCACCAGCAGCCCGAGCATTGGTCCTAAGACCCAGGTGGCACCCTGGCTGATCCACCTGGGACTGTTCGGGGTAATTAAAAGGGGGAAGCAGGTCAGAAAAGGCTGAACCTCTGAAAGACTCTTAGTCCCTTTCAATTTAAACTGGAATGGTTCTGGATTAGTCTAATTAGTCTAATCTAATTAGCCTAATTCCACAGATGAGGAAATTGAGGCTCAAAAAGAACAAGGGACAATGGGCCAAGGTCTAATAGATATCAGGACTTGAACTGAGGTCTTCTGATACCAGCTTTACTTTGTCATTGTCTGCCTTAACTATTCCTCTCCTCCTAAGAGGAGTCAATAAAGAAAAGTAGCAGAGCACCGACCGACCCTGGAGTCAGGAGGACCTGAGTTCAGATCTAGCCTCAGACACATAACACTCACTAGATGTGTGACCCTGGGCAAGTCACTTAACCCCAATTGCCCTCACCAAAAAAATAAAGAAAAATAAAGAGAAGTAGGTCTTTTTTTTCCTGGACTTTTATTTTTTGGGCGGGGGGGTGCAGAATTCAGTCTCTGTGTTAGAAAGATGCCATTTAGACCCAAGGGAGTGTAGCTTGCTGAAAGCTTCTCCCAGCATCTAAGAGAAACTTCCCTGGGGCCCTGGAGGTGGTAGGCTTGGATTTCGCAGTGACTTCCTTTTTCTAACCAGGAAGCCCTTGACTTGGGTGGCAGCAGATGAAGAAGAAAACAAGTCATTTCTGACCTGAAATGTCCTGCCTGTAATAGCACTTTTTTGTCTTGAGCTTTGGACATAGGCAACCTTGAAGGGACAGCCTCCCAAGGGTTCCTGGGAGTGGGAGAGGGGATGTCAGCCTCGAGATTGATTGAGAGTTTCTTCCTTTCCCTTGGGTTTTTCTGGTTCTGCATCTATGCTGATAAAATCAAATTCCGGTCTCTGACAGGACTGGCCTATTTCACTGGAAGTTGTAAATCTGCCAGGAAGTGAATCTGAATAAACCTTCTTGTTCTTGTTGTTTTTAAATAAAACTGTCTGAATTTGGTGGGGTTAACATCTTCCCTTTTTCTTTCGTAATGTGCTGGTTTTAGGACGTTCGTTTCCATTCCAAATACATCACAGATGAGCTGAGAAGGATTTTCACTGAAGACACTGACTCGGAGACAGAAGATTTTGAAGGGTTTTCCCAGAGTGAGCTCAACAGTCACCCAGAGCTAATGGTAACTAACCCATCCAGCACTTTCAGGATTTCTCATGGTACTAGTTATTTCCTGATTTTTTTTTTTAAGGCAATTGGGGTTAAGTGACTTGCCCAGGGTCACACAGCTAGTAAGTGTCAAGTGTTTGGTCTGAGGCCGGATTTGAACTCGGGTCCTTCTGACTTCAGGGCCGGTGCTCTATCCACTGCGCCACCTAGCTGCCCCTGTTTCCTGATTTTTCCCCCCCAGTGAAAGCATTCTCTATTTACACCTGACTTTTAAATTCCTCCTTCTATCCCTCAGATTTATTTTATCAATTAACAGTCTGAAGGTAGAGTGGTGCCTAGCAGTGGGTGGCAGTGGGCTTTGGATTTGAAGGAGCTGTATTCAGATCCCAGCTCAGCAACTTGCTACCAGTGTGAACTCACTTAACTCCCCTGGGCCTCAGTTTCCTCATCTGTAGAGTGAGGGGTTTGTACCAAATGGCCTCCGAGGTCCCCCAGATATATATTTATGACCTGTTAATCCAGTCTAATTCTTTCCATTGTTTTCTTGGAGTGTTTGCTCACAGAACCATAAGCGTAGAGCTGGGAAGGACCTTCTGTCCATTCCTACTGTATGTGCTAGGTGCCAGGGACCTCAAAATAGAACATTTTCTGCCCTCAAGGAGCTTATGTATTACCCCATGCTTCCAGGGTGTCACCTTGCAGAATTTGGGACTATGGCCCCCTTGGATGAATGAATTTATCCATGTTTTTCTAACCCCTTTTGACCTATTTTTGTTTCTCTCTTATCCCAGCTTGGGTAAACAAGTCTCTGGTTCATTGCCAGATGTGTAAAGAGTTGTTGGAAGTCTGGTTTGAAGTGGCTTGGTGTTTCCTTACCTGGACAGACAGATGGGAACCACCTTCCCTGTCCAAGGAGAAATCCCCATTTGGGAAGGCTCCCAGTTTAGCTTGACCTTTTGGTTCTGGTCTGAAGTGATACCCATAACCACAAGTCCCATTTACAGGTCGCCTTTACAAAGGGGTTTCCTTTAGCCCATCCCACCACCAGACCTCCCTCTCCATAACAAGACTCCCGTTCATACTCTTCACCCACCAGACCTCCTCTTGAACTTCTCCGGATGTTGAGACACACATCCTTGGAAGTCTTCTGGTCCAATGGTGGCCCATAGAAGTTTTTCTACATGGAGATGAAATCTGCCTCCCTGGAATTTCCGTCTTTAAATCCATCTGAAACTTTAAAAATACATTTGACTTGAGGAGTGTGACAGAGTCTTAAAAACACTGAAGAGTTGGAGGACCTGGGTTCAGATTTCTGATCTGTCCTTTGTGTGACTTAATCACACAAAGTCACTTAATCAGTGTAAGGTGGATTTATTTAAGTACAAGGCCCTAGGGCTATAAAGACTTAAGCCTCCTTTCTCTCTCTTTGGACCTCTAACTTTTTTTTCCAACCTTTTACTGTCTAGTTATTTTATTTATTTTTTAATTAATTTATTTTGATTTATCAGCAATCACTTCCATACGCTTTTGAGTTTAAAATTTTTTCCCTCTCTCTCCCCACCACCCTCTCCAAGATGGTGCACAATCTGATATAGGCTATACTTTTACATTCCTATTAAACATATTTTCTCATTAGTGATGTTGTAAGAATTAGAACCAATAGGAGGAACCACCAGAAAGAGGAAACAAAACTCAACGGAAGAAGAAAAAAAAGCAAATAGTATGCTTCTATCTGCATTCAAACTCCATAGTTCTTTCTTCTTTGTGGATAGCATTTTCCATCACGAGGCCTTTGGAGATGTCTTAGATCCTTGTATTGCCAGGAAGGGTTAAGTCTATCAATATTAGTCATCACACAACTTGGCTGTTACTGTGTACAACGTTCTCTTGGTTCTGCTCACTTCACTCGGCATCAGTCCGTACAAGTCTTTACAGGTTTTTCTGAAGTCAGGATGTTCATCATTCCTTATAGCACAGTAGTATTTCATTACATTCATATACCACAACTTGTTCATCCACTCTCCAATTGATGGGCATCCTCTCAATTTCCAATTCTTTGGCACCACAAAAAGAGCTGCTATGAATATTTTTGTACATGTGGGTTCTTTTCCCATTTGTATGATTTCTTTGGGATATAGCACTAGAAGTGCTATTGCTGGGTCAAAGGTTATGCACATTTTTATAGCCCTTTGGGCATAGTTCCAAATTGCTCTCCAAAATGGTTGGATCATTTCACAACTCCACCAACAATGCATTAGTGTTCCAATTTTCCCACATGTTCTCCAACATTTGTCATTTTCTTGTTTTGTCATCTTGGCCAATCTGATAGGTGTGATGTGGTACCTCAGAGTTGTTTTGATTTGCATTTCTCTAATCAATAGTAATTTAGAGCGTTTTTTCATTTGACTATAGATGGCTTTAATTTCTTCATCTGAGAATCGCCTGTTCATATCCTTTGACCATTTATCAATTGGGGAATGACTTGTATTCTTATAAATTTGACTTAATTCTCTAAGTATTTTAGAAATGAGGCCCTTATCAGAGATACTGATGGTAAAAATTCTTTTCTAATTTTCTACCTTCCTTCTAATCTTGGTCGCATTGGCTTTGTTTGTGCAAGAACTTTTCGATTTAATGTAATCAAAGTTATCCATTTTGCTTTTCGTAATGCTCTCTATCTCCTGTTTGGTCATGAATTCTTCTGTTCTCCATAGATATGACAGGTAAACTATTCCTTGCTCTCCCAGTTTGCTTACAGTATCAGCCTTTATATCTAAACCATGTACCCATTTTGACTTTATTTTGGTATAGGGTGTGAGATTTTGGTCTATGCCTAGTTTCTGCCATACTCTTTTCCAGTTTCCCCAGCAGTTTTGGTCAGAGTGGGTTCTTATCCCAGAAGCTGGGGTCTTTGGGTTTATCATGGACCTCTGACTTTTAATCAGAGGTGATAACGTCTGATTGTTGAACTTACTGTTTGGGTTCAGAAGGTCTTCTCTTACACAGGGATGAACATTGTCAGGTCCTTCAAACAGTCCTGTAACATGGTTTCCAAGACCTCTCATCATTCTGGCTGCCCTCCTGTGGTTGTCACCTTCTCTTTTCAAATTAGATTTGTAATTTGTAAAATCTGTAAAAAAAAAAAAAAAGCCCAGTACCTAGCACTATAAAAATGCTCCTTCCTTCCCCCCATCATCAAACATGGCGTCTTCCAATGAACATTGCACTCCAGCTCAGGCCAGACCTGCAAACTACACAGTTAGCAGGCTTCCTCGCCCCCTTTCTGGTGCAGTCCCCACCCCACCACCCCCATTAAGACTTTAGCTCAAGTTCTCTTCAACCACCCATTTCCAAGTCTGAGTATTTTTTCTTTCCAGCAATAAAATTTGCCGAAAACTCTTAATGATAATATCTGACATTTGCTCAGTGCTTTGTATACATTAGGAGGCTTCTTGGTCTTTGGGAACGAGTTAACATTTAGGTTATTCCTTCAGTCTCGCTAATTCCATCCACTGACTAATGCCAGGGCTTTCCCTCTGTTAATTATTTCCTATATGTCTGGTATAATAACTTGCTTTGTATGTATTTGTTTTGCACATTGTCTCCCCAGTTAGATTGTAAGCTTCTCCAGGGTAGGGATTCTCTGCCTCTTTTTGTATTTCCAGTGCTTGGCATATAGTAGGCACTTAATAAATGTTTACTGATTGATTATAACAGGAATTTTTTTTTTTCACCACTGAATCTCTCTAGAGGTGTGTTTGTTTCACGTTGGTAGACAGTAGACCGGTTTTGTGTTCCTTCCCTTTATTAGCTCACAGAGTCAGAAATGAGTGATGAAGATGCTGGAGACAGGCTTGTAGGTAGTGAAGAGGAGGAGGAGGACGAAGAGGAAGCTGAAACGAAGACAGCCTCCAAAAGAAACAGCTTTGGTCTTCGGGTTGCCTTCCAGTTCCCCACAAAGAATAAAGGAAATATAAAAACCAGGTTTTCCGAGCCATCCTTTTCTAGCTTACGTTTTGACGAGAGTGAAAAGCCAAAGGCCTTGAGAAGAAAGAAAAATGGTAGACCAGGGAAGAAAGCCATGGAAGGGTCTACCTCTGAGTCTGAGGATGACTCGAGGGATGTGGGCCAAGCTGACTCGGATGCTCTGCTCAAAAGGGCCATGAACATTAAGGAGAACAAAGCCGTGGTAAGAGACACCCCTCCCTGCACAGATTCAGTTTGCCTGGGGGTGCTCTTGCCTTCATGGGTAGAGAAACCAAGCCTGCTGGGCTTTTCCCGGATGGGCAGGGTCAAGTCCATTTTCATCCTGGGCCCTGGCAGTGAACTACTTGAACACCCTAAGTTACAGAGGATTGGAGATTTTAGAGCCAAAAGCAACCTTAGAGGTCATCTGGTTCAGCACCCTCATTTTGCAGTGGAAAATGAGGCCATGAAAGAGGAGGCAATATGTCAAAAGCTAGGATCTGAACTTGGAACCTTGGCTCTTAACCTTCCAAATCTGGATTGATGGGGAGGAGCTATCTCACTAGGGATTCCCCACTCAGATGAAACCAGTGGTTTGGTCACACCATGCTTTCCCCCCAATAAATAAATGAGTAAGTATGTGTGGATCTATGTATATATAGACACACATGCATATATATACATACACACACATATATCTCATCTATATATATATAAATTATACCATGTGCATGTTATATATTGTGCATGTATCATGTATATATACTATATCATGTATGTGTGTATAATACACCTCATATTCACATATTATGTCTACTCTGTCGTGTGTAATATGTATATGCATACAACTGTATTTATGGTTTTGTACATATGCATATATATTATAAAATACATACATATACACATATATTAACACTTAAGTAACAAACAATATTCAGAGAAAAAGTCTGTAGTTTCTTTGATGTGTTTACTCTCTGAAAGGATTTCATTCCAGAAATTGGTTTGTGAAACATGAGAATCCTTTGTACTCCACTGACTTAGGAGAGGATTAGCATGTCAATTTCACTCGTGTAAATTTCAGGAATATGTCAGTTTCATCCTGGGGATGAATACCTTTGGTATTATGTTTGTCATTGGAATACTGTAAATAGATACATTGTCTTTGTTGGGGTTTGACATGTGTGGCACCCTTTTCAAGTTATGTAAACTAATCAATATTAAAAAGTCTGGGTGTTCTTAGATGTTTTGTGGGGCTGGAAGTGGATCTGATCTTGAACAGAACCCGCTTTGTGGGAAGGCAGACACAAGCAGTGACCGTTTTTCTCTTTTCTGCCTTAGCTTGCTCAGCTGCTGGCAGAATTACATTCTCTCCCAGAGCTATTCCCAGTGCAGACACCGAGCCCAGCTTATGTAAGTGGAAATCTTGTTTTCTGCCCCCAGTTAATGGAATCAATTGCCAGCTTTTGAGGAGGTCTCAGAAGCAGTTTATTGGGGGCTCTTCTTTCCCTCCATTGCAGAGAAAGAAGCCAGTGAGGCGAGCTTTTTCAGAGGGACAGATACCTCGCCGCACCAACCCCACCCGCAGCGCCCGGCCTCCAGAGAAATTTGCTGTGGAAAACTTTGCAGTGTCCACAAACTTTGAAGAAGACCTGTGTGCTTTCAGGAGACGGAAAAAAATGAGTGGGGTATGTTTCTTACTCGCATGGTGCTTATCCCTGATGTTGGTGGTTAGGCCATGAGTATAGTCTTTTATCTAAACTGAGCTGCTTGGAAAACAGAACGGACAGCCAAGAAGAAGAATGTGGAGGTTCCAAGACCTTGAGATCGACTTGTTACTGGTGCACTTTGCATTTGCCAGAGGTCCAAGGCTAACTGTGCTTTGGAAATATAGGATTGAGTTGAGAGCTGAAAGGGACCTTAGATGTCCTTTTTTTCCATTGCTCTCATTTTATGGATCAGGAAACTGAGGCCCAGAGAAAGGCAGTGTTTCACTCAAGGTTACATAGATTGTAGGCAGAAAAGTCCGGACTTATTTAGCTAGCATTTCTATAGTGCTTTAAGATTTGCAAAGATCAGTACATATATTACGTCACTTGATCATCACCATAACCCATGAGGTAGGTGCTATTATCCCCATTTTACAGGTGAGGTTAAGATTTGTCCAGTATCGCCCAGGTAGAAAATGTTGGAAGCTAGATTTGAACTTGGCTCTTTATAACTCCAGGCCCAGTGTTCTGTGCCACGTGGCTGCCTCAGGGGAAAAGTCCTCTGACTCCCAATGCCCCGTCCCTCTGGTTACTCTGCCTGCTTCTGACACCTGTGTGGACAGGTAGAAGGTAGAAGCGTTTCAGGTTTGCCTTCTAGCTCTGTCTGACCATCCGTATGTAGTGGATTACAACTGTGGTAGGTTGTGCTTTTAAAGCTCCTGCGTGCTGCCCTGTCAGAGGCCCGATGTGTCTGTTTTCTAGGGTAAAGGCCGTGTGTACAGAAAACGGCGTCTGTCTTCTTTCCGGCAAGTGGATGAAATCACTGAAGATGACTTAGAAAATATTGCCGTAACTGTTAGAGATAAAATCTATGATAAAGTTCTGGTAAGGACTTCGTTATCCAAAAATAATATTTAATATGAGATTCTTTCCCTAAATTTGCCACACAGGGGAATTGGTATTTGGAATCCTCTTTTGCATGCTAACTTGCACCAGGATCCAGAGAGTGGGCATGAAACTGGGAGACGAATCATCCTAACTCAAAATAAGATGACTTTTTAGAGGAAGAGAAATGGGTCATGTGTTGCTACAGTCCTGACAAGTTTTCTGCTTTGGGGACTTGTGCTCTTGGCTTCTTTCAGTAAGAATGTATTAAACACCTTCTATGTGTCAGGCACTGTGCTTGGTGCCTAAGATGCAAAAGCCAACTCCTGCCCTCAGGCAGCCTGCCTGCCTATTTGGTGGGAAAACATGTACACCGATAAAAAAACATATGCAAATTATGAACAATTTACAAGAGGGTGGGGTGTAATCTGGGAGGTAGCATTTGAGCTACGATTTAAAAGGGGCTAGAGATTCCATAAGGGAAACCATTCATTAGGGAATGAGCTCAGTGTACTTGGGATGATAGATTTAGAAAGGGAAGGTACTTCGGCCACCTAGTTCACACCTCCCTGTATTTTGCAGGTGATTAAATAGGGGCCCATAGAGGTGAATTGTCTTGTCTTAGTTCAGTACCAGAGGCAGATTTTGAATCCAAGTCATCTGAATTTAGGGCCAGTGCCCTTCCTTGTCAGCTCACTTTATCTACAAACGTGAAAGATGATTTCAGTCAATCATTAGACGTTTACTAAGTGCCTTCTATGAACCAGGCACTTTCCTAAGTTCTAGGGTTACAAAAGGAGGTGAAAGACAATCTGTCTGCCGGGTTTTATTTAAGGGGGAAAAATGAGCTTAGTCGTGTATGAAGGGCGCTTAGAGGATGCTGGACAGGTTCAGGTGCTGGGTTTCTGATAAGAGGCTGGGGTGGTGTAATAGATGTCATTGTGTAAGCTATTCTGTCACGCAGAGAAATTGTCAGAGTTTATCCCTTCATTGCTGTCTTCCACACTTCAGGGTAATACGTGCCATCAATGCCGACAGAAGACTATTGACACTAAGACAGTGTGTCGGAACCTGGACTGTGGGGGAGTGAGAGGGCAGTTCTGTGGCCCGTGCCTTCGTAATCGTTATGGGGAAGACGTAAGATCGGCTCTCTTGGACCCGGTAGGAAGTCACTTTTTATTTTTATCTCGTATTGCTGAAGAGAGATGTATGATATTACTATAACATTACATAATAACATATATCCCATATGACAGGAATAAGATGAGAGGCATATAATGTATATAACAGTTAAAGCGCTGGAAATGGAGTCAGAAAAACTTGGGTTTGAATCTTGCCTGTAGCTGTTTGACCTTGGGTTATTCACTCAACCTGTCTGAGCCTCAATTTCCACATCTGTAAGATGGAAATACCATAACTCACAGGGTTGCTTTGAGAATGAAATATCGACGAAGATCTTTGTCGAGTTTAAAGGGCTTTAAGCATATAGTGAGCTGTTAGAATGAGGAGGAAATAATCTTTTGAAAAGCTGTGGGCAGAGCTCCCAACCAGCCATTCATTCATCTTGTCAGATGTAGGTTTGCTGTCAGGACGCAAGCTGTGACACATCCCGGAAAGAAAGAACAGAGTAAGGAGCAGAACTTGCCAGACAAATGAATGAGGGGGGAAGGAGGCTGGCTCCTCCTCAGCCTGTAGTGAGAGCAAAGTTAGGGGGAGTCAGAGCTCTCCACTGGTCTCCTTGGGATGGCAGGAGAGAAAGCAGGGAGGGCTCCCAGCCGGATGGGCGGATGGCCCCTGTCCTTGGGAGGACGGGGACCAGGAGGGGGTCAGGGGATGCTTCGTAACAGCAGCAGAAGAGGCTTCCGTCGCACACGAGGCCTTGAATGAGAAGCCAGGTGGCCTTCTAGTAATGGGAATGATAATATCTGTGATTATTAAAAATTTTATTATTTGATATTCATCAGTAGTGGTAGCTGACAAACACTAAGTAGCACAGTGGATAGAGCGTTGGACCCGGAGTCAGAAAGACCCACGTTTGAATCTGGCCCCAGACACTTAGTAGATGTGTGACCCTGGGCAAGTCACTAAACTGCTGTCTGCCTCAGTCTCCTCATCTGCAAAATGGAAACAATGATAGCACCTGCTTCACAAGGTTGTAATTGATGATGATGATAACAATCAGTATTTACACAGTTCTTTAAGGCTTGCAAAGTGTTTTCTGAGTATTTTCTCATTTGAGCTTTGCAGCCATCCTGGGAGGTAGGTGCTGTTATCATCCCTGGGAAACAGACCCAGAGATGGGAAGCTACGTGCCCAGGGTCTCTCAGGTGGAAAGTGGCAGATTCAGGATTGAAAGCCAGCTTGGCTGTTCTGGGAGGCGCCAAGCTGACCTCTTAGTAACTGCAGGCTTTAGTGCTCTCTTTACAGTATCCTGCCCCCGAGTCCTGTGCCCATGCCCAGGGATGTTGCGGGGGAGCCACGCTCCTCTAGGTGTCCTTGTGTTCCGGCCCTCTCTGGTGTCAGCGGGCTGGCCTGGCTCTAGACCCCACCTCCAAGCCAGCTGGGCCAGTTTCCTGGGGCATAATAATGCCCGTGGCATCAGCTCGCCCCCGTGTGACTTTGAGGCCCCAGGTTAGCCAAGCGTGTTTCAGCACAGACTCGGAGCACGGGAGCGTTAACAGAGCTCCCAGCCTTAATCTAAGATGCATTCGAGATGCAGAATCTGGGCTCTTTTTTCTTTACCCTTTATTACAAAGTGCAATTACTTATAAGAACTTGAAAGTGAAGAGTTTTATTTTCACTGAAGATTGAGTCCTAGATTGCTTGTAGAAGAACATGCCTGGCCGTTCCCCTCTTCCTTTGGGAAGGGAGCCGTGTTTAGGGCTCCTCCCCTTCGCCGTGGGACCCGAAAGTCAGTGATCACCCCTCTCTCTCTCCCAGGACTGGGTGTGCCCTCCCTGCCGTGGGATTTGCAATTGCAGTTACTGTCGGAGGCGCGACGGCCGCTGTGCTACTGGGATCCTCATCCACCTGGCAAAATTTTATGGCTACAACAATGTGAAAGAATACTTAGAAAGGTGAGGCCTGGCCTGGTGAAAAGCTGAGAAAGAAATCACGGGAAGGGATGGGAAACCAGAGGAGTCAACTCAACAGAAAATGTGCGTGGGAGGTAGCCAGAAAGGGGGCGGTTGTTTTCTTGTCCTCTAGGGTGCATACAGGGTGTCTCCATAGTGCATTTGTAGGGTTGACTGCCCTAACACTTTAGGGACACTTTCCGTATTACTCTCAGGAGCTCTGCATGTAGCAGAGGAGGTAAAGTGTTGGGGGTAGCTTTTATTGATGTAGCTTACTTATTTATAGTATAGATGTGGTACAGATTTATAGTAAACAGCTGCATCTTTTTCCCATCTCCGTTTCTCAGCATACAGAAGCAGCTGGTTGAAGACCATTAAGATGCAGGAGAAAGCAGCTGGCAAGACCCCCCCTTTCCCTGATTGGTGCTCCCAATGTGACCCATTGTTGGGACGGTTTTGTTTGTACAGGAAGCGCTGTGGGGGGAACGCAGCAGTTTCATGTCTTCCTGTGTGCGATTTGTGACGGTTTATTCCATGTTCGTAAAAAAGTTTCTCAGGAAAGCAGTCGTCTTAGTGAAGGGGTCTGTGTATTGTAGACACCCTACAATAGGCACCCTACCTAGTACATTGAAGTCTTTAAAAACAAAAGCTTCTAATTGAAAAGCACAGTGAGAATAATGTAGTTATCTTTCAGGTTAAGTTTACAAGGAGAAAGCTTGATGAGCTGCACCCGTTCTGGGAAGGAAATGCTCAGGTATCCATCGTGCCCCAAATAAACCCCCGATCAGAATGACTGCCTGAGGCCCCAGGTTAGCCAAGCATGTTTCCCCACAGACTCGGAGCATGGGAGTGTAACAGAGCTCCCAGCCTTAGTCTAAGATGCATTCGAGATGTAGAATCTGGGCTTTTTTTTTTCTTTACCCTTTATTACAAAGTGCAATTACTTGTAAGAACTTGAAAGTAAAGAGTTTTATTTTCATCGAAGATTGAGTCCTAGTTTGCTTGTAGAAAAACATGCCTGGCCATTCCCCTATTTCTTTAGGAAGGGAGCCATATTTAGGGCTTCCCCCCCCTTCCCCAATCCCACATGAAAACTTTTATTTGATGCTTAGTATCTGTAAGAGCCAAAAATCCCACTTGGTGAATGGGATGCTTTCAGCCTTGTTTTTCAGATCTTGAGTTTTACTGATTTCGTTGGTAAATGTGTAAAGGATACTGTACTTAATTTTTGTTGCTGGGGTTGGAAACGCTTTGTTTTAGCCATAGCAGAGGTGTACTCTGAGGGGAGCTAGAAAGGGAGAGCATGGCCTTTGGCTTGGGGGTTCCCACTTGTGTTTACTTGTGTGTCTCTTGGGGTTGGGGAAATGTCACATGCTTTGTAGTTCCTGTGTAAGATGTAAAACTGAAGAAGCTTGAATGTCATCTTTGGGGGAAACAACTTCCTGAAAAGCTGGACGATGCCGGATTCCTGTGCTGAGGAGAAGGCCTCCGGGTCTCGCCTTTCACACGGACAAGAGCAGGGCCACCCCAGCCAGCACCCACTTGGCCGTCTTCTCTTTGCTTTTTAGCCGGAAGGTCCACACGTAGGTGGGGCCCCTGGTTTGGGTTCTGTACACAGGGCACTCATAGGTCTGCTTTGTCTCCTGTCTGTCTGCCGGAATGGCTTTGACAAAGATGACCGGCATCAGAGATGTCAGCTCCTTGAGGCGGGCTTCCACAACGGTTCCAGCCTGGACATCCCATCGAGCCCCTAGGACAGAGAGCCGCACATGAGTCACTGCTGTATGGAACACTTGGGTTGGGTGGCTAGTTTTCTCCAGCTACAGAGCACACAGTTTGATGCAATAAAAGTTACAATTATCATCATTTCTTTTTTTAGCCCATTGATTTCTTTGAGGGAGAGGGGGGAGGATACCCTTCACAAAGTAGTAAGTGATGGAAATTAAGAGCAAAGGAGGTCTGCCAGATCTGTGACCTCCTCTTTGGGCCTTGGTTTCCTCATCTGTAAAGTGAAGGAATTGGCTTAAATGGGACCCCGAGGTCTCTCCTGGTTCTGGCGGTTTGCATTCAGTGAAAGAGATGATAATCATCAGCAAGCTTGGGAGATAGGAGCCCCCATTGGCTCTGAGAAGATGGAAGATGGAAACTCTAGAGGTGAGAAATAACTCAAATTTCTGGGGTGCTCACGGGGTTACAGAGAACTCTCTTTGGTAGGAAGGCAAGTGAAAATACCCCACGAGAGCCAGGATTTGAACCCAGAGCTCCTCACTCCAAATCTTGCTAGATACCGGGGAGGTGCCGAGGCTAGAATAAGGTGAGTTCTAGGCTTGCCTCGACATCTCTTGCGTCTAAGGAGGGCTCAGAAAGCTGAATTTGAATGAGCGTCTGAAGCAGCCTAGGGAAGCTAGAGAGTGTGTTAGCTTCAGGTCCTTGATGAAGAGCGGGCCCCAGCCTCATTTTATACAGGGAGAAACTGAGGAAGCCGGAGTAAGGAGTGCAGTGATTCCAGGGTCTCCTGACTTCAAACCCAGACCTCTTTCTTTAGTGGTCATCACCCAGCCCCCTGATTTACAGGTGAGGAAACTGAGGCATGGAGTGGTGCTCCCCAGGAATCCTTTACTCGAGGCCTGTTACTGAGCTCTGTCAGGGGCCAGGTTTCCAATCAGCTGCTCCTCAGATTGGCTGCCGTCTTTGGCCACGCTGCTGTGAATGAGCATGTCCACCAGAGGGTGGTCTTGGGCAGGAGAAGCAGCTGGGAACCTCGAGAAAGCTGTCAGCACCTGAGCATCGGAGTGCCCACAGAGGAGAGACGCCCCATGGCTGCAGCATAAACTGCCCTGGAGTTTGGGGTGCAAAGCCCCGAGCTCTCCATTCTGTTACCTGCACAAGGAGGGGGCTGCAGTGCACCTCCAAAGGATAGGGCCTGGGACTTGGAGCGAGGCCTGCATGAAGATCCCTCCCCAGATAACCTTGTGGCCCTCAGTTTCCCCATCTGTAAAATGGGGCCTGGCACCTGCTGTATAGCCCTAGTGGGGCTCTTACCTTCCATGAAGAGCCCGTGAATGTATGCTCCTTCCCTGGGAGGGTGGCCGTAGTCCTCTTTGGTTTTCTTGGTCACATCGACAGTCAGGCACATCTTATCCAAAGGCCACTCGTTCTTCCGAGCCATGCTCTGCATGACAGCTTCCAGAGGGGAAAACAAACTGGGTGAGAAAAGCTTCCTCCCCTTTGATCACAAGGGGGCACGTTGGGGTCAGCTCAGGATGGCGGATCTCCCAGGCTCGGCTCCTTCCACCAATGAAACGACGTAGAAGCCCTGCCTGCCCGCTGCCGTTTTCTGGGGGCCTTGGGAGGGAAGAGCTGGAAGTGTGGGTGTTGTGCAGCGGGGTGGGAGAGCCCTGCCCCTACCTGTCAGGAAGGACTGTGGGTTAAAGAACCCGGACAGCCACACAACAGCTGGCATGACCAGGTCCTGGGTCCAGGTGTCGAGCTCTCGGCACCTCAAGAGGAGGTCGCTGAACCTGGGGGGAGACGAGGAGAAAGTCCCAACGGATTCTTAACAGGTCCCAATTGGTCCTAGAGGGGTTTTGCAAACTCACAGGTGAATCTGGAGAAGAACGCGAGATTCCTGCAGACGGAATGGAGGCAGCCTTCTACCTGCACCTCCTGAAAACACCAAGGGTTAATCTGGAGTTTAAGATTAATCCTTCGGGAGTAAGGGCTGGCAGACCGTGCCCATAATTCCAAGAGCCTGGGGGTTGTATAAATTGGCTTCTTTGTGTCCCCCCCCCCACACCCCCGTGGAGATAAAAAAGGGCTTGGGCTCAGTGATCAGCCTGTCCTAACACGAAACAGCCACTTTCTCAGAGAATCGCAATTCTAGAAGTGGATGTGGGTGGTGAGGTTTTAGACAAATACACAGTGAATTAGGGTTAGAGAGGCTAATGACAAATAAGACAGGCTGCTACTGGCCACAGTGGGAAAGAGCATCACATTCTGGTGAATTGTGCTTCCAGTTACACTTCTGTTATCAGTTATCTTCTTTAAGTATGGCCGTATGCCCTGACTTACACTGTTGTGTGTTAAGTAGTGGGTTTAGCTCCCAGGTGGGGCTGTAGCGTCCCCACAATATTTCCAAGGAGGCTTGCTTTCCCTTTCAGTGTAAAAATTGTTTAACTGGTGACTTTGGTCGGAGTTCTCTGCCCAGGTTGTTAGCCTGCCTACAGCCCATCTCCAGGGTCTCCTCTGGGACCTTGGGCAGGTCAGACTGCAGCCTCAGTTTTCTTATCCACAAGGTGAGGAGGGCTAGCCTGCCGCCGGGGATCCTTGAAACGTTATCTCTGTGGTCCCAGGACCTGACCTGTTTCTGCATCTGCTTAAAACCATCCGACAAAGCAGAGGCGCCCCAAGGTCTTGGTGCAGTTTAACGCTTTAATAGCTTAAAGAAAACTGTTACAGAAGCGCTTAACACCGCACTAAGACTTTTGGGACACCCTCTCTCACGCCTGGCCCCTTTGGGGCAGCCTCAGCGGGCAGCAGTAGGAATGAGGAGTAGCGGGGTCGTATGTGTAAGGCGCTGAGCGCGGCAGCCCTCAACAGATCCCTTTCCTTCCCGCGTTTCCAGTTTTAACCCTGGGTGGTAGGTATTACAAATGCTGCTCTCCCCATTTCACAGTGGAGCAAACTGAGGCTCAAAGGTTATCACACAACAGGTGAGCGTCGGAGGTAGGTTCCAAACAATGGTTGTGAAGCACCTACTGTGCGTAGGATGCCATGTGGAAACCTACGTAAATTCAGGGTCGGTTCAGGATGGTGGAAGCCCTTCAGAACCGGCATGTTGGCGAGCAGTAGTGATAGGTAGCATCTGCAGAGGGCTTTGAGGTGTGCAAAGCACTCCAGCTGTGGGGCTGTCTGGGCCTCCCGGAGGGGCCTCCCTCACCTCACGGGGGCACTTGGGCTCTGCGTCCACTGACAGCCCCAGCCCGGTTTCTGGGCAGCCTGTGTGACCGCAGGTGAGTCACTGCCTCTGAGGCTCAGTTTCCTCATTTGTGAATAGGGGACAAGACCTTCAGTGCCCTCCTAGCCAGGTCGTTGTGAGGTACACGTGAGGTCACAGAATATGACATCAGGGAGGGAGGGGTAGTGGCCGCTCAATCCAGCTCCGAGGCGAAAGGAGGCCCCAGAGGATGGATGGAAAGCAGTTTAGATGTCAGGAGTTAACCTCACCATCGAAGGACCACAGGTGTTAGGGCATTTAGAAAAGTGGGGACGCTGCGAAAAACCTCCAGCACAGAAAAGCTGGCGGTTAAACCGGCTAATCGCAGGAGTTGGAGCTGGGATTAAAGCCTTCGAGATCTAAACCTTCCCCTCCGCCTCCATTTTATAGCTGAAGAAACCCAGGGCAAGGCAGCAGCCTCCTCAAGGTGACCCCGCAAACGCAGGTGCCAGGATTTGAATTCGGGCCCTGACACTATGCCCAACATCACATGGAAGGAGCCCCAGATGGGGAATCTGAGTTCAAGTTCTCCGTCTGCCACCTAACTACCTGGGTGGCTTTGGCTGAGTCTCAACCTTTCCGGGCCCGTTTCCTCATCTTATAAGATGAGAGGGTTGATCTACGTGGCTTCCGGGCTGGCCAGTGGGGGTTCAGAAGAGAGACCATCAGAACGCCCAAGGAGAGGCAGCTCTTGCTTTTATCAGTCACGAAGGAAAGCCATCATGGCGGCCCAAGAGTATCTGACCTGCTTCCTCCTGTCCACCAGTATATCCTATTTGTTTCTTTTCTTTAAAAAAATGTTACAAGCGTTGATTCTCTCTCTTTTCCTCCCCCCTTGACAACTGAATTAAAAAATAAAAATAAATACATTAGCAAAGTCTCACAAAGCAAACTCCCCCATTGGTCATGTCCAAAAAGGAATGTTGTGGTCAGCATCTGAAGGGCATCATCTTTCTGGTGGGGGTGAGGAGTATGCTTTATCTTCAGTACTCTGGGCTCACCCCTTGTAATTCTGAGTGGACAGGGAGGGGATTTAAAGCTCAGTGCATCTGGGCAATGATGGCGGACCTGGGACCACTTACCAC